CCCCCCGGCGCCTGGGCGCATGTGCTGGCCCCGCCCCCAGGTGTGCTGCATGGCACCTGCCCCGCCCCCGGACATGCAGTGCGTGAGCGGCCCCACCCTCGCCCCCCCCGGCAGCCCCAAAAGGTTGGGAACCACTGGTCTAAGTGTTGGTTTAAGTAGATATACTGTATTAAAGAACCTTGATACCAATGAATGATCTACCAGAGATTTGGATGCACCTATGTTTGCAACACTATGTAGTCCCCTTACCAAAGGTGCCTCTGCTTATTTTTTGGGAAGACCCTGTGTGCTGCAATCCAGCCTCACAGACTACAATTCCCATGAGCCCTTGGGAAAAAGGAAGGAAGTGACTCTTGTGTAGGAGATGGGGGTCTCTCCATGTGTATGAGAAGAGAGGCCAAGCACTCTGGGGCTCTGCCCTTGGATTTTGGAACAGAAGGGGAGCCAGGCTGCTGTGGAGGAGTTTGATCCAGTCCAGGGGCTGTTGGACTGCAGCTACAGACTGGGACTAGATGCCTTTGGAACTGGGATCTAGCAGGCTGCTTCTGATAGGCACAGCATGAGATTGTAAGTAATTGGGCATTTTTGGGAAAGTGCTGCCTGGGACAGAGCTGCTGCCTAGCTAGGACCCTCATACACACTGCCTACAGAGAATCTCCATTACAGCTGTAGTTCTTCAAGCACGCCCACGCAAGCAAGAGTCTGGGCTCTAAGTCCAGGGGTGTGCACACTCTGGGGTGGGATCAATATTGGCGGTGCAAATGCTAGCTATATAAGTTCCAATTATTGTTGTGCACTTTGTTAATGTTATTCATTGTTAATCTGTTAAACCCTGTTTATTTAAGTTAAGTAAAGATTGTTTATTTTAACGTAATCTATTAGATGTATATGATTTGTAGTTGTTCTGGAATTAGATCCAGATTATTGCTGGAATGAGTTTATTCCTGGAGGCTCTCAAGGCACACCAGTAAGTGTGTACAAGGCCAGCCAGGTGGAGGCACCGCCATTGTACATTCTTTATGAGCAAGGGACTGCAGCAAGGAAGTGGATAGGTTTTCCCCAACCAAACAACATCATCACTGGGGTACTCAGGATCTCCTTTAATGTCAAGACCATCAGGCACCCTGGCACACCTGTGAGTGTGACCTGCTCCCGAGTAACCCGGGGAGGAAAAAGGGGGTTACATTTTGGAGGCACCACTGGGATTTAGGGGCAGCTGTCCGGTTGTGGAGATGCCAATGGAGAGCAGAGAGGTCTGGGGGTAGGGAGACCACCCAATGGGCAGAAGCTGAGGACTGAATGGTTTCCCGTTAATGGGGCACCAGGGGTAGATGCTTGCCTGACCGGGATTCCAGGGAGACAGTTCTTTGGATTGGCACAAGGGAGCTCCCCGCAGCAACTCTGCCATAGAGGAACCGCCTGGCAGGGTCCTGCTAAGCCTCCGCACTAGCCTGGCTGCCTTTTTTCCCAGCGGGGGGCTCAGCATTTCAGGGGGTTTCCCTGATCGATGATGGAAATGGGCTCCTGCTTGGGGAGGTGCTGGGGGTCCCTGCTGACGCTAATGCTGGAGGCTTTGCTGAGCAGGAGCAAGGCGGGCAAAGGGTTGGCCACCTCAGTGTAGGTGCTGGGAATGGCGCTGATGAGCACGCTGGAGTTCTTCATCCAGGCGCCCTGCTCATCGTTGCGCAGGAAGTCAGGGAAAATGACCAAGGGAGGGGTAGAGCCCAGGCAGGAGGTGACGCTGCTGCCTGCACTCTGGCCCACACGCTGGGACTTGGAGAGGACCGTGGTGAGGGCCGCCTTGCCGCTGGTGTGCACCGGTGTCAGGATGGGCATGGGCGGGGTCTTCCGCTGGCTGGGCGGCGGCAGCTTCTGGCGGTTGGATTTGGAGGACAGATCAAGAGGCATCTTACTGCATTCTGGGAAGGAAACCATCTCACACTCCAGCTGGGGGGAGGGGACTTGAAGAGGGAAAGGGAAGTGGTGACCCCTTGAGCGAGCTGCTCTGGGGCACCCGAGGCCTTGGTGTGCAGGCCAGTACCTGGGGCGGGCACTGCACTCCCACAGGACGCTGCCAGGGAAGTCTGGCTGGAGGAAAGCAAAGAGCCCTCCATGGATGGGGAAGGGCCATCCACATGCTCCCACCTGCAGGAGAAGGGCAGCTCAGCTGGTTCGCCTCCACAGACACGCCTTTGGAGTCTGCAGCCAAGGGCTGGGCCACGGAGACGGTGTAGGGGTACTAGCGTAGCTCTGGAGGGGCAAGAATGCCTGGCAGGCTGTGCTCCTACAGGTAGGAGGGAAGGACAGGGAGAGCCAGGGTGGAGGGGACCCCAAGGGGGCTCGGAAGAGTAGCTACACTGAGTAGCTGCCCATAGCTGGAGGGTGGGATGTACACCAGGGGCTGGCTTGGGGCCAGAACCGCCCCGGCCTGAAGCCTCTGCCCCCAGCCACTGCCGTGGAGGCAGCACAAGGGCCGGCGGCCCCCA